ACTATGGATATAATACTCTAAATGAGTATTGTATTATAGTTATAATATAATACTCATTTATATTTAGTGCCAGGTTAAAGTCAAGTTCTTTACCTTATAAATAGTGTCAAGCTATTGTATCTCCAATTTTTTCTGAAAGGAGCTACTGCAGATCCAAATAATGAACTTATCTCTCTGACATGCACTTGTTGTCGTACCATGGAAAGAATGAATAATGTGTATCTTACAAGCCTTTCCGGAAAGCGCATGTGGTCGCATGCGTTGTACGTCCACGCTTAAAGTAATTTTTTAGATAACTTGACCATGTTTTTATATAGAAAGCGTTTTAAAAATTTGCGGCAAAATAAAGCTATAAGAAACTAGAGAATAGTAAATGACCGGGGTTGATATTTGATCAGAACCGGGGCCGGGTTTGATAAAATATAGCCGGGGCCGGGTTTGTGATTGGGGCTGCATAAAAATTTATACAACATAAAGTATATTTTTTTAATTCAAAATTTATGTTATATTTTGAATATATTGTATATATAAACATCATTATGATCAATACGATCATCGTAATCATCATTAACATCATCATCATCATTTTTATCATCAACAGCATTATCATCATCAGGCTTAAGCCTTCCTCTTTTATGCTGTTTCTCTAATATAAACAATCTAGAGCATTTTTATTCTTAACTAAAGCTCATTCATACAATATATAAAGCACTCTCTTCAAGTTTTTTTACTTTTAACACTACTATTTTCTACTGAAGATGCTACCTCTATATGTTGATACCTAAATTACTTTAATCTTTTCTAACAAATGTTGTTTGATACAATGTTTTTTCTAATCTGTCTAAGATTATGCCTCTTTTTCTTGTCTTGCTAGAGTCACACCACACATCCATCTGGTAATCTCCTTTGGCAAATACTACACCATATAAATACTAAAGTTTATATAAATACGAAAGGATATTGTATGCCAGCATCGAAATAAATACATTAATGTTTAAGTCCATAATATGTATGCATAAAGCGCATCTCAGAAGCTTTTATTCCTTCTGGACTAAAAGTTTGGAAGCTTTTATTCCTACTCTTCAATTTTAAGTAAAACCTCATTCTACTCCATATTTTTTACCATCTTGAGCAGTTGCTTCATTGATCATTTGTTTCATCTTTTTTACAAAACATCTCTCTTAAGAACAAATGTCCTTTTATTATTCCAAGGAGCCAATGTAAAAAGGTCCTGTCTGATGTTAAGCTCTGTTATTTTCAGTTTACTAAATTTTGTATCTTATATCAGATGTTAGGTTCTAGAGACTTTTGTTTAGTCTTTAACAATATCATTAACTAAAGTCTAACATTTAATCTTATTAATTATATAATATTTAGTATTATTAATTATATATAATTTTTAAAAAGTGCTTAATAAGTGGTTCCATTTTTTCAAAACTCTGGAAAACACTTTGACCTCTCCAATTATCCTACTCTGTCGTAAGTTTCTTTATATACAGGTTTTGAGATTAAATTATCTCTCTTCTGTAACAGCCTAAGGCTTGTTGTGGCTTATGGATTTAAATTCTGGACTTAAAATCTGGAATTTTTGTTAGACAACAAAACTCATTTATTTACTGCAAAAAAAATATTGTAATAATGTTGGTATTCCTATATTGATGAATAACAACTCTCTTACTCTCAGACAAAGTCTAAAAGCACATTGTATATGTAATATTAAGCACATTGTATATGTAATGGGGTCGTGGTGTAGTAGTAGAGTGCTTGGATCATAATCGAGAGGTACCAATTTCGATCCTCACCATGTCTCTGGTATTACCGCGCATAACTGAAAACGCCACTGCAAACAAGGAGGCTACTTAATTCTAGTTATAATCCTTTCTCAACTATATAACTCCAAAACACAAACCTTGACAACCAAGACGGCTGCACAGAGAAACGTGCAGCCGTCTTGGTTGTCAAGGTTTGTGTTTTGGAGTTATATAGTTAAAAAAGGGTTATAACTAGAATTGAGTAGCCTCCTTGTTTGCAGTGGCGTTTTCAGCACAAGGTAGGTAAATTAAGGTAAAAAAAAACAATAATAATAAATTAGACCTGCTTTATCTGCCAAGCTTGACCACTCTCCCATTGTTGTGAGGTTGCATTTCTATCTTTTTTTTCTACAAATACAATCATGGTCAATGCTCAAACAAGATATTATCTCTATTACAATAAAGCAGAACTCATTCTTGCTTGTTTCTCATTCAACAAGTTGCATCCTTTTATTGTATCTGTCCCTTCATGCTATAAAAATTTTTATTAATCCAGTTTTTTTCCTTGCTCATCAAAAAAATAACTATTAGCCATCTTTATGTTTTTCTTTTATTTACAACCTACAACTTTTCAAGTCTTCAGTTAACCATTTCCTAGTATTTTTACTTATTCTCTATTTTAAAGTAACTCATAACTTAAGAATGGTTCCTTGCAATCTTGTTGGAAGTAAATTAGAGTTTGAAAGTATAGAAATATATGCCTGTATTTAATAAATAGTAAATGTAAGCATAAAATTATAATATATAAAGTATTATAAATTTTTTTTTAGCCTTAACTATCAACCCCTGCTAAATCTACCAAAAATACAAATTCAATACTTATGGCAGGAATGCGAAGTCCAGGAGTCCCTGTTTTCACATGGAGTCTGGAGTCCCATCCGTCATAATTGTTGGGACTCTAGGATCTGTTTAATTTTAAATCAGCATGTAAATGTTTCCTAACAAACCCTTAATAACTTCTATAAGTATATTAATTTAAATTTGTTAAGTCAACAGTTACGTGACTTTAAACCAGTATAAGCACAAGCATATTGAATAACGCTGTTTATAGCAAGCCGTCTGGCTTATAAATTATTCAAAAATGTGCTGCGTGTTTATGGCATACATCGTCTATAGCATACATTGCTTTTAAAGAATATAAGAGACAAATCAGCTATTAAGTCTTTTTAAACACAGAAGTATCATTTTACAAGTGTAGCAACTAAAGTTTATTAAATGTGTTTCTGCACGTTGTTATAACAAAATTTGTAATATTTTTTGAGTTGCTATAGTTTATCCTTTAAATTGAATAAAACCCATTATGACATTTTGGTTACGCGCTTAGTATACAAGTTATTATAATATCAATTTTAATTGCTATTTTTTACGGGTTATTTGACTTATTATTTAATTTTGGGAAGTGTATAAAATAAGAGAAGTCTGATTCACAGAAAACAAGTTGAGTGTGGTAATTGAACTTTTCGCTTACTATTGCATGTGAACATAGCGCTAACATGTTCTTTAGGGGCCATCCATAAAGTATGTTTGCAGATATGGGGGTGGGGGGTTTCCCAAATGCGTACGAACGCGTACAAGGGGGAGGAGGTATTAAAGACAGTGAGTACAAATGCTGTATCTATCTCTCCTAAACATGATTTCATTTTTTTTTAAACATTGAATTTTGAGTGTGTAACAAATCAAAATTGTGTTTTTTTTTCTAACTTCAGTCGCAATTTTTTTATTTATTATTTCTTTATAAATAATGAGGAGAGAAAAAAGAAATCAATTTAATGCTACTTACACAGGGGAGGGGGTCTTCAAAAGCTTACAGGTTTGTACAAGGGGCAGGGGTAATTACTGTGTACGTACTTTATGAATGCTCCTTTATGTAAAGTATATTAGTTGAAATACCTTCAACCTAAAAGGTATACATATTTTTTAAACATCTTCACTTCCAACAAAGCTGCAAGCAACCACTATTAGAGTTGGAAGTTACTCTTTTCAAGCTCATATACTATTCCAAGCAATTAGAGAATGTTGGCTTCTTAACAAGAATAAATAGTAGTGTTATCAGAGAACAATGCCACGTTAGATGTGAGAATTTCTGAGAGATCGTTAATGTAAATTTAAAAAGTATAGGGCCAAGAACAGAACTTTAAGGAACCAGTGAAGTTAAAGGAAATGAAGTAGATTGCTGTCTATTGAGGACAATTTTTATACTACCATTGGTAAGGAACGATTCGATAGTCTTAAGAATATTACCTGATACACTGTAAGAGACTTATGAAGAAGACCAGCATGCCGAACTTTATCAAAGGTTTTAGAAATGTTGAGACCAATAGCCTTAACCTCTCCACATCTATCTAATGCACAATAAAGCCTATTGGTTATTACTGTTAATAAATCAGCAGTATAATGAGAAAATCAAAATCCATAATGATGATCAGAAAGTAAGCTATTAGATTCAAGATGAGAAATACATTTAGTTAATGATTCAAAACCTTGCTTATGATAGGGAGAAGACTAATGGGATGGTAGTTAAACAAGTCTGATCACACTCCAGAGTTTTTGAAAATAAGGATAACAAATACAGCTTCCAGCAGGCTGGAAAACAAGACTCTGATAAGCACTTGTTAAATAGTTTTAAAAGGATAGATGACAGCTCTAGAGAACACTTCTGCAAGACTATAAGAGGTATGTCATCCAAACCACAAGCTGTAGAAGAGTCTAAGCAGGGAACACTTTAAATACAGAAGCTGGAGTGACGCAAATGTCTAGCAATGAATCAACCTGTTTTTCGGCTATATTAAGTAGGATATGATTAGTGGAGTTAAGAAATGAGTTAGAATCAAGAGATGAAAAAAGTTTTTAGCAAACAATTCAGCTTTGTCTTTTGGTAAGGTAGCAAAATCTGAAGCATGCAAGAGAGTGTCTATAATAAGGGCAAATAACAGATTTGCCCTTATTATAGACACTGTTAAAGATTCTCCAAAAGTCTATAGTTATCATAAGTCCTAATTTTTTTTATATGAAATACAAGGTTTTTATGACCTGAGAATAGTGAGCTTTGGCATTAGACGAAACCTTTTTACAATGGTTTCTGGCAATAGTAAACAGATGTCTGTTTTCTGGATAATTGTTTTGAAAGTTGACTGTTTGTGTTAGTGATTGAGAAGTGCAAAATATATGGGCTCAACACCTGCAGGGTCACTGACACTAGAACCAAGCCATTCAATGTGATGAGCAATGTGAAGCCACCATAAACAACGATATTGGCTGAAGGATAAAGAAAAAGGGCTTGGTTAATTTGATCAGAAATAACATCGAAAAGAATGCAGTCTTAAGATAAAGGAGAACGATATAGAACAAAGAGGAAAGTAATAGTGAAATGGTGCTAAATGAAAAAATGAAAGTAATAGTGAAATGGTGCTAAATGAAAGCACATATAAGAATAGTCTGTGGATTCAAAGTTTCTCTACAATGGGTAAGTTTCTCTACAATGGGTAAGTTTTTATAAATGTAAATGCCTAGGCCAAGCATGTGACTATTGGAGTCTTTAAGAATTAAAGGAAGATAACTATCAACACTATGATCGCAAGATAAGACAACTGAACTCAAATTGGTCTCACAAAGAGCAAGTAGGTCTAGTGAATTTTGCAAGAGATAAGACTCAGAAAGAAACAGAAGAAAAGTTACTTTAAAGACCATGAATATTAGCGAATGATGGGTTTATAGAACTTGGTGATAATGCTGGTTTTTTGTGTTTTATAGTTTTTGATACTGATTAAAGAACTTGACTCTAAGCACAGATAGTACTCAGCACACTATTGGATATAGTCCTTGCAATTGGTTATTACTATTAATAAACGGTTATTACTATTAATAAACCCTTAGGCTCCAATTGTGGTCTCCACAATGCACACCAAAAGTACAAACAGGAACGCTATCCATGTGCAACATAGCAGTGTTAGTATACTGATATTTTACAGTTGTTAATGGAATCAGCCTCTCTTAGAGCTACTACAGAGTTCGAGAAACCTGACTACCAGCTGGCCTCAAAACAATAAAACTGAGTTTCAGAGCTGTACCCTCATTAAGCGGCGATGGAGACACTTAACCAAGAGCCCAAAGGCTAGGGGTGTGTAAAGTCAGAGTTGGCATCTTCTAGTCTTTGCTTAATAAAGCATACTCTGCAAGGCAGCACAACATGAAACAGGTTGACTTGGTAACATGTTACTAGTAGTAGGATAACCTGACCTGACACAATTCTTTTTGAGCAAAAAAATGAAATCAAATAAATTGTAATTTTTTGCAGCATAATTGAAACTTTATATAATCTAGCAATTCAGGGACTACTTCATCCCAAAAACTTTAATTAATTGGCTCAATAAGGTTATTAAAAAAAAAAGGAGTCCAAGGAGTCCCTATTTTTTGACCATGGGTATGAAGTCTCTAAAAATCTATAGGACTTTGCATCTCTGCTTATGAGACATTATATCAAGATGGAAACAGTCCTTGAAAAAATTTTGGTTTTCTTTGCATTCAATTACTTGACTGAAATAAAAATATACTTGTCTAAATCTTCTTCAAAGTTATTTTCTGAATGCTGCATGTTTAACCACTGTTTCTTATGAAGCAATTTCTTATAATTTAAAAAATATTGATTAAAAACTTATTAAAAATTTAATTTAATTTTTATAACAACTTATTTAGTCTTGCTTCTAAACAGCGTTATGCTTTTTGGCTGTAGGTGTTAAAACTTCTTTTTAATGAACTTTAATGTTAGTTTCCATTTCCATTTGTTATTATTTTTAGAATAGATGTTCAGAAAAATTTGTTTTTATTATACCATAGTGTCTTGTTAAAACAGAGGGGTTTTTTGGTTTGATTACTAGTATAATAAATTGTGTTTGACAAGATACATTTAAATTTTTCTGCATATATTTTATTATATTGTAAACAATTATTGAACTGCTGCCATTTAACAAATTTACGTTATTAAAGAATTCTTTAAAAGCTTCATTTTTTTTTTTTTTATTAACTGTTCAAATATCATAAAAAGCTGGAATAGTTTTTTTTTTTAAGCTTTTTTGATTATTGGCGTGACATTCCTATTTGCTTAAATTTGAAGTTATATCTATATTATATAAAACATTAGTTAAGAGGTTTTTTGTTGGAGTTAATAGCTGTTATATAAAACATTAGTTAAGAGGTTTTTTGTTGGAGTTAATAGCTGTTATAGGTATTATACTACAGCTAAATGATTTATTAGAAATATATTAAATGTTAAATTAGAAATATATTATATTAAATGTTATATTAGAAATTAGAGTTGTATACTATAGCTAAATGTTATATGAGGTATTATACTATAGCTGTTATAGAAATAATATTTTTACAAAAATTTATAGTGTTCATAAATGTTTATGATACATTCACTATAAACTGAATCCCATATTAAGTTTTAATTTTTTTTTTTTTTTTTTTTTTTTTTTTTTTTTTTTTTTTTGTTATATATATTATATTGTTATTATATAATTTTATTGTTAAAAGTTTTTTTTACACAGAATTTGTTATAATAAGTTTAGTTTAATTTCTAGGACACCCCACCATACAACAAAGGAGCATTTAAAATCGATATCATTTTTCCTGCCGAATATCCATTTAAGCCGCCAAAAGTTACATTTAAAACTAAAATATATCATCCAAATATTGATGAAAAAGGTCAAGTATGTTTACCAATAATTTCTCCAGAGAACTGGAAGCCAGCTACTAAAACTGATCAAGGTAAGTTATATTTTATATTAAATTATAAATATTGAAATGATTTTTGTTTTACTTAGTCAACTGCAGGTCATTAAAATTTTGCTGCAATGAGATTTTATCTGGGTCTGTATTATCAACATTATTGTCAAACTTTACAACAACATAGTATAATCCATACTCTGCAAAAATTTGTTGCAAAACATAAGTTGGGCTAAAATAGTTGCAAGTCATCTCTAGAAAATGATCCTAACACTGAGGGGGACAACCAACCATTTATGTTGTCTGACAAAATCAACAAGTCTGCTAGTTGTTGTTTTTAGGAAGTTCTTGGGAATGACTCTTTGGTGCCAATATTTGGCAACAGTTTTAGACTGCATAAAGATCCTTGACTCAAAATATAGACTTAAAGTAGGATTTGTAATAATTTTTTTAAACTCTAAAAAACTATTTACCATATAAGGTGAGGCATCTTTTAATATACTTTTAGATATTATTTTTTTTAATTGAAATTTATATTTTATGAAAAATATATTGAAAATAAAGCAGAAAGGTTTATAGCATTTTTAAATAGTTGAAATAAACTCTTCTAAAACTCCTGTTTTACTTATATTTTAAATGGTTATTTTCAATATTCTTAACAGTAAAAATGTAAACTTCAGTGAAAATAAATATTTATAGGACTGTGTAAAATTGAAAAATTTTAATTTTTTGTGAAATACAATCAAAGTCTTTAGAATGTTAACATAACGCAAGCCAAATAATACCAAAGGTCTGGTATTTTTTGTTTGTGCTATGTCTTATCAATTATCTTCTAAAGAATAATTAAAATCTTCACACTACCAGATGTAAGGCTTTATTATGATTAAATTTTTTATCATTAATGATTTAAAAAAAAATCGTTTTTTTGGAAAACCTTACTTATAGATCTACAACTTGCAAAGTTTTAGATGTATAAATAAGGTTCCTAAGTAATTGGAATATTAAAAAAAAAGTTCTGGTGATTTTTTATTTTTATTGCTCTGATTTCTCCTGTTTAATTGTTGAAAATGACTTAATGTAAAAATTTTTTTTTAAATATAAATTAAATGTTAATTTAAATTTTTTTTAAAATTTAAATTAAATGTTAATTTAAATTTTTTTTAAATAGCTTCGAATAAAGCTTCTACTTCTTCTATTAATATAATTTTCAAATAAAGCTTCAAATAATAGATTAATAGAATTTTCTTGATCTGCAAAATATTTTAAACTTTTTTAAAATTATTTTCTTTAAAAATTTCGAAAGCTGTTTATAAATGGCAGATAAAAAGTTTGTTTTTAGAAAAAGTTTTTACTTTGAATTTCAAAACTTTTACCTAAAACTTGATTGTTTGTTAAATTTGAATTCAAATTTATATATGTAATAATAAAAGTTCTGTTATTTCTAATTGATTTGCTGGTGAACTCTTTTATAAATATTTTTAATTTTTATTTTATTATTAAATATTTTTTTTACAGAGACTAACTGCATTGATAAAAAACATTAAATAAACTTTTTTAGTGAATAATAAATTTTTTTTTTTTCAGTGATTCAAGCTTTAGCAGCACTAATAAGTGATCCTGAACCAGAACATCCTCTCAGAGGCGAGCTTGCTGAAGAATATACAAAGGATAGAAAAAAGTTTATGAAAAACGCTGAAGAGTTTACAAAAAAACACGCTGAGCCGCGCCCAAATGAATGATTTATCTGTAATTTATCTTTTGTCTATAACATCTCCTAGCAACTGTGTAACTAATAAAGTTGAACTTTAAATCCAAAAAATTTTAATACATCTTTTAGTTATTTTTTCTCGTTTTCTAATATTTTTTTGTTAAGAGCACTTCAAAATTTTGAAATTATTTGTTTGCTTTTTTTTATATTATGTTTTTTATGTTTTATTGACAACCAAGAAATATAGAGAAGAAAATTGATTGCGTCACTTCTAAGAAAAAAGTATTTGTTACAAAATCTACTCTTTATGTTAAAAAAAAATGACTCATGAGAAAATTTGAATTGAAAAAAAAAAACTAAAACCTTATATAATTTAAAAAATCATTTTTTTAAAATTATATCAATTTTTATAGGTATCTTGGTATTTGAGATAATAGTAAAAAAAAATTTGCGCATTCATGAAGAATATAGTAAAAAATCTAAAGAAGGCTTAGTTATCTAGAGATAGTAGGGCTCAAAATAAGCTTATGAGTATTCAATAAAAGAAAAGAAAGGACCAGATATTATACTGATATATTAAGATTTCATTCGATATATCAGCAGTCCTTTGCATGTTCTCTCTATATCAGTCGATCTGCCAACACTGACTTTCCTTCAAATTCAAATTCGAAGTCGTTAAATTGAGAAAAGAAGGTAAATACGCTATTCTCAAGTTTGATTCTATTTTTTGTATAATTTTTTTTAACATATAGTGTTAGGAAAGTCCTTCTAATTTATAACTTAATCAAAATGTCTGAAACAAACGATTTTAAATCGTTTACTTTTAATTTTTATTTCAAATTATTTTCAATTTTAATTTCAGAAATAAGACACTTCTCATCTGATAAAAACTTAGATCCAGATATTAATTATTTCAATGACATTACGGATTGCTCATATTACTATCCTAACAAATTAAACGATTTTTCTTATAAAAATACAAAAAACAATAAATTTGATCAACTAAGAATTCTTCATATAAATATCAGAAGCCTAAACCGCAATTTCGAAAATCTTCTCAATTTGTTACAAGAAACCAACAATTTTTTAAATATAATTTGTTTAACTGAAAGCTGGATAATTGAAAATGATTTAAATACTACTTCAAAATTTAATCTTCCTTAGAGTTAATTTCTCAAGAGAGACTTATCAATAAACGCGGTAGAGGTGTTCTTATGTAAACGAAAGTATTGCATTAAGATTGATTTAAGTGTTTCTGACGGCGACAAAGAAATTTTAACTATTGAAATTCTTAACATTCAATCTAAAAACATTTTACTGGGCTGTTGCTATAGGCCTCCGAACGGTGTGTCTGAGAACATGAACATGTATTTTGAGGAAAACCTTTTCAAAAAAGACATCCTTAAAAGAAAAAAAAATAATTTTATTGTAGGGGATTTCAATAAGAATTGCTTCCACTACTCTACGGACATTAAAGTTGAAATTTTTTTTTTTTCAAATGGGAGCCATTCCTTTGATAAATCGCCCGACCAGAGTACCTCCAAAATCAGCTACTCTAATTGACAACATTTCTAATAACTGATATTTTTAACAGTGACTTAAATAAAGGTATCTTAAAAACAGACATATCTGACCATTTCCCTATCTTTTTTATCATTAACTTCAACTCTAAAATAATGACTAAAACAAACATAAAAGTTAAATTACGTAACTATAATCAAAAAAACGTTGAGCAATTTAAAACACAATTGTCATTACTCCATTGGAAGAATATCGATTTAGTAATAATGCAAACAACGTTTACGATAATTTCTTTAATACATTTTACTCTGTTTATGATGCTAATTTTCTTTTATATGAAAAAACAATAAAGCAAAAAAAATTAATTCTCCCTGGGTTACCAAAGGTTTAAAAATTCATCAAGAGTTAAGCAGAAATTATACATAAAATATATAACAAACAAATCATTCGCCAATAAGAAAATATACAAGGATTACAAAAATCTTTTTGAGAAAGTTTGAAGTAACTCAAAAAACATAACTATTGAAATTAAAAAATTACCGGTAAATCAAATTCATGCTAAGGTTCCCTGCCACACATGATTAAAGTGTATAATAATAATATAAATAATTCTCAATCAATAGCTCACGAATTCAATAAATTCTTTGTTGAAATTGGCCCTAAACTATCTAAATTAATTCCTAATACATAAGCCTTATTTTAAGATTTCTTAGTACCGATAGATAATTGCATTCACTCGGATGAGTTATATAAAGAGTTATTATTAGATTAGTTCAAAAAAGCCTTCAAAACAATAAAAAAAAAAAAAAAAAAAAGCAGTTGGACCGGATGAAATCAATGGTAACATAATTTTTGATTGCTTTGAACAAATAAAATATATTCTTTTTAAAGTCTTTAAATCATCGATAGAACAAGGAGTCTTTCTTGATCAATTGAAAATTGCTAAAGTCATTCCACTTTTCAAAGATGGTGACAAATCTGATATAAGTAATTACCGGCCTATTTCTATCTTATCTATATTTTCAAAAATACTAGAAAGAATCATGTTCAATAGAGTCTTTAATTATTTTAGTTTAAATAATTTATTATACTACAATCAGTTTGGGTTTAAAAAGAATAACTCAACTGAGCATGCAATTATCCAGTTGGTACGTGAAATCTCCAATTTTTTTGAAAAACCTCAATTCACATTAGGAATTTTTATCGATCTTTCAAAAGCATTGATACTGTCGATCATAATATTTTGCTTTATAAACTTAGTTATTACGGAATAAATGAATGAGTAATTAAATGGTTTCAAAGTTATTTATCGAACAGAAAACAGTACGTTTCTTGTAATGAACTTAATCATAAACAGTTTTTAAATGTTTCCTGTGGTGTTTCGCAAGGTTCCATCTCAGGCCCTCTTTTGTTTCTAATATGTATCAATGACTAGCATAAAGCATCAAATCTTCTAAGTGTTATGTTTACTGATGACACAAACTTATTTCTTTCTAACAGTGTAGATGTCACTGTTTCAAAACATATCTAAATGGTTTAAAAGTAACAAATTAACATTTAATATAACCAAAACAAAATGGATTTTTTTCCACCCGCTCTCCAAAAAACGTTTTCTACCTCCAAATCTACCAAAAATTCTTATTGACCATATTGAAATTAAAGAAATTCTGTAACTAAATACGAGAATCTCACATGGAAATATCATATTAACTATGTTTGCTCGAAAGTTTCAAAAAGTATCGGAATTTTTTAAAAGACGCGTACTCATTTAGATAAAAATAATTTAACTAAACTTTATTATTCTTTCATCCACAGTTATATTAGTTATGGAGTTATTGCCTGGGGTAGCACTGATCAAAGCAAGTTACAATGTCTCTATTGCCGTCAGAAACATGCGATCCGTTTAATTAATTCTGCGGATCGGTTTGCATATTTCTCAATATTTTTTAATCAAATGAAAATCCTCAATATATATAAACTAAACGTATATAAAAATTTATCTTTTGTTTATATGTGGAAGCATGATTTATCTCCTTTAATTTTTAAAGATTTTTTATTTTGAAACCATTAAGAAAGTTTAACATGAGGAATAATAATAATTTAAATGAACCATTCTGTCGAACAAAATTCAATCAATTTTGTATCATTTATCGTGCAGCTCATCTCTGGAACAAAATTATTTTGCCTAATTTCGACTTACCCCTAACTTATCCTGTTTTTAAAAAACTAAATTAAAAGACCTCATTCTTTCTATTGAAAATATCTTAGATTATTTTTAATTTATCTTGTGATAAAAAAAATATTTTATCGTCATGTATGTTCAAGTTTTGTTTTATACTTGTTTACAATTTATTTTCATTTACCTAAATACGATTTATTGTTTTTTATGATTTTTTACGTAATCTTGTTGTAAAAAGACGTTTTTTATAATATTTTACGTACTCTCTTTTGTAAAGGCTTCTGAAGATAAGATCATTGTGATCTTCTTTTAGAAGCCTTGTTTGTATTTGAAAAATATGAATTTATATATATTACGTCAAATGTAAACGAAACATTAAAAGAAAAAATAATTAAAAAAAATAGCAACATCTAAGGCTATTAACTAACGCCCTTGTTTTGGTTCATTAAAGTTAATTTTTATTTAACTGCTTTAAGCTAAATCCCTAACAATTTTAACATAAATTTAAGCCAAACAATTTTAATATAAATAAAGAATTGACAACTAAGCTCGATTTGTTGACTAGGTGGCAAAAATGACGTTCGAAATAAACGAAAAAAGTGTGCTTTGACAGTGCTTTAAAAGTCTATTAATGTAATAAATACAATTATTATTTATGATATTTATTTTTTTATAAATCATAATTTAAATGACAGTTTTATCACAGCTGACGCTAATCCAAAATTCAAAAATTACAAATTGGCATCTATCTTTTAAACCAATTAAGGTGGTTCATACCCTTATTTTTAGTCAAAAATCCAAAAAAAAAATTTTGTTTGTATTATGCAAATTTTATAAGTTAATTCAAATATATTATTTGAATTTATACAAATGTTGAATATGTTGACTAAAATTCATTTTTGTACAACCCTATAAACATACCACCTTTAGCAACACGTTTTTTTTGGACATTCGCTTATATAGCGATCGGACGTGATATAAAAGCTTTTCATTAAAAAAAAAATTTACGGAAAAATTCCAATAAAGTAAACTAAACTTTGTAACTTTTCGTGAAAAAAGTATATTTGCATAGCGTACTAACTATGGTGAATGTTCAGTCAACAGAATTTAATGTATTCAAAGCAGAGCAAGAAAAACTAATAAAAGCATTAAATAGGACCATCGAGGAACTAAAAAATTTTCGAGCATTTTTACTCTCAGTAAGAGTAAAAATGCTCGAAAATGCGGAAACTTTCAAATCATCACCTTTATTATCATGGGCAAGTGTTGTAAGTAGAAAAATCCCAGCGAAAAAAATGGTAGAGCAACTAAACCTAATAAATGTTGTTTCAGACGAAAAAAAGGAAAGAGAAAAACGTGAAAATAATGTAATAATATTTGGCATTAATTCATCGAAAGCAATCGATAAATCAAGTGCAA